AATGTTGCCTCGGAAAGGTTGCCTCAGAAATGTTGCCTCGAATATGATCTTAAGACACTAGGGTTATTACTAAGACCTCCTAATATTGCTTTAGTGATCGTACGTCCCTTTCGAATTGACCCTTACAACTCCAACGACGGTGCTACCTACTCACTAATAGTGGGATAGCGTTGTCTAAAGGAAACAAGAACAGAAACATTCTTTTTTCGAGTAGGTAGATGCTAGTAGGTACTTGCTCAAAATCAAACTTTTCCACACTTACACTCTTTTCAAACAAAGTTTTCAAAAACACTTCGTAACACTCTTGAGGACTGATACAAGGGTTAAAATAAAGTAAAACAAAAACTTCTCAAACACACCAACACACAAGCAATTTTTAAAATGATGAGCAAGTACCTAAGAGCCCGTAGAAAACTACGGATATAAATGGTGCTAATACCTTCCCTTTTTATAATCTACCCCCCATACTCAAAATCTCGAAAAAGGAATTTTTCTGTGCTTTTTTCCTTTCCAGTTGGATAAAATAAAAGTCGGTGGCGACTCTTGCTTACCGCGACATTTTGCGAATACAAACGCAAAACGCAAACCAACATTTTCCTAAAACAGTCCGGTTCTGCCACCGTATCACATTTATCTCTTTGTTGCAGTCGAGGTTGTCAGCGCGACCCTCATTCAGGAAACCACTGAGGGGAAAACCTATATACTCTACGAGCAAGGCATTGCAAGGTCCAGAGCTCAGATACCAGCAAATCAAAAAATTGGTTGTCCCTCATAAATGCAGTAAGAAGGCTAAGGCACTAGTTCCTAGCCCACACGATTGTGTTCCGGACAGACCAGCCCGTAAAACAGTTGCTTAGTCGTCCAAATATGGAAGGTAAGATGCTCAAATGTTCGTTAGAGCTATATGAGTTCGAGATCAGGTACGAGGGTAGAAAGGCCCTTAAATCCCAGGTGTTGGCCGACTTTGTGGCAGAAATGACCTCACCATCACCCTCAACATGCGAGGCACACAAATGGATCATCTTTGTGGATAGAGCTTCCAGATCGTCAGGAAGTGGAACGGGTAACATCCTCAAAAACGAGGAAGGAATATTGATCGAAGTCTCCCTCACTTTATCCTTCCCAACCTCCAACAACCAGGCAGAATATGAAGCTTTCCTCACAGGACTGCACTTGGCCAAAGACTTAGGAGCCGAAGAGGTGAAAATCTACAGACTCCCAGCTCGTCGCCTCTCAAGTACGGGGAGAATATTAAGTCAAGAAAGATAACCTCTCTGAATACTTGACCCTAATTCGGGAAAGAATGACAAAATTCTCATCCGTAGAAGTAAAACACGTTCCCCGCGAATATAATACCCGAGCGGATATTCTGTCAAACTCGCAAGTACAAAGAGAAAGGGAGGAAAAAATCTATGATCCAGGAGATACTTCCTCAACCAAGCATCGAAAAACCGTCTGTGATAATGGACATAAACGCAAATGGCAGCAACAACTGCTGAATGACCCCGTTATACAACTACCTTACAAAATAGGAGCTCTCATCCGACTAGAAAGATGCTAGCATGGTCAGGCGCAAAGCCTGCTCCTACGTCTTGGTCGAAAATAAACTGTACAAATAGAAATTCTCCACCCCCTTCTCAAATGTGTCGAAGATCCCAAATTCACACATATATTGCGCAAAATCCATGAAGGAATCAATGCCTAACACCTCGGGGGGAGATCCCTCGCCAGAAAAGTCTTACAAGCATAATATTACTGGCCTACCATGCGACACAACACAAAGGAACACATGAAAAAATGTGACAAATACCAGTGCCACGGGGACATGCACTTGACACCGCCTAACGAGCTTAAAACTCTTTCATCCCCATGGCCTTTTGCATGGTGAGGGCTGGACATCCTCATACCATTCATCATGGGATCGAACTAGAACAAATACCTAATAATGGGCGTGAATTACTTCAAGAAGTGAATAGAAGCTGAGGCCCTGGCCAAAATCACAGTACAAACTCTTTCATAATCTCAGACAATTTCAACAATGGCTCTTCTCACAATGGGCGATTCTCACAGATGCACAAGGGACAACATTGCAGCGTTTGCAAGTTTCTTGTATACTTATAAATTTTTCATACTTCTATTAATGATTTATACATCTTATGAACTCTTACATTTTTTACATTCTTAACTTAGGATACTAAAAGATTCAGAATCCAGTTACACAACTATCTTGCTTCCGACCCATTGATCGTGCCCTATCTCAAATACGCAGGTTTCAGAAATGTTATAAAGATCTCCAACTGTACGATTGATTCAAAGTTCATACTTGCAATGTTGGAAAGGTGGAGACCAGAGAACCACACATTTCATTTACCAATAGGTGAATGTACCGTCACACTAGAGGACGTGTATATGTTATTGAGTCTCCCTGTCGACGGTAAGGAGGTTAACGGGTCGGTTTAACAGCCCAATTCTCTGTGAAAGGAATTGGTGGGCAAGGATATGGTTGAAGGTGGTGGTGCGAGAGGCCATGGTATACTACTTACTGAACTCAAAAATCTTTATGCGACTCTGGAGTTGAACGAAAATTCCTCCGAGCTAGATAAGGTAATAAAAGCTAGAAATTATATAATAATAATTTTTGGAACTTTTTTATTTCCCGAAAGTACGGGGAATAGTGTAAATTTCATGTATTTAAATTTACTTAGAAACTTTGAAAAAACTAGAAAGTATAGTCGGGGTTCTGCTGTTTTAGCCCATATATACAGTTCATTGTGTAAAAATGTAATCAAGGAAAAATATACTTTTTATGAATGCGCTTTTTTACTTCAAGCCTGGGGTTGATGGAGAATGGAGTCCCTAAACCCCGTCAACAACAACGCATTCATTTTCCCGTACGCAACAAAGTAAGTCAATAACTTATATCATTTATTATTATTCATCTCTTCACCAAATATATGATAAAAATAAAATATTTTTCAATTCCTTTAGGTACTGCGTGAGGGGTATGGATTACGTCAAGAATTCAAGATTCAATGTCACTTTATATCGCAATCTATTGGATCACCTTGGCCCGAATGATGTACGTCATACCTTTCAACTTTTCTACTTTTAAATTATTTATTTATTATGTTTTCATTAAGCTGATTTAATTTTATTCGCAGTTTGTCTGGAGACCATATTTGGGTTTGGACCATGAACCAAACTCCGAGGATGCAGCAATTTGGAGCACAAAGACTGCAATCATACGTTTCAACGTTGTGGAGATGCACCACAGCGACCGTGTCAAAATACAGTTTGGAATGCATCAAGAGATACTCTGTCATCCAACTTGTTTGTCTCCGTGACATCTCAAAAGGGTCGATGCCCAATAGGGTCTTACTAACTGGAAAGATTTTTCTCCATAATGGTGTAAGATGTGGCAGAGGCGTCACCGACATGTCTTGCAATTCCCAGTTTTCCTCAACCATGATAATATGAAACACACGGATTAATATTTAGCTTGGTATAGATCGGTTAGTAACCCAGAAATGCACGTGTCTCATCCAAGGTATTTGGATGACCCACGAACACAATGGGCACAACCCTCATTTCCCCAACAACAAACCCGACACACATCAACCTCCCACTAACCTCCCCGACGAAACAGAACCATAAACACCCAACCACAATCACCACCACAATACGAATACACCCACATGCCCCACAACCAACCACAATCACCACATCAATACCAATACCCCCATATGCCTCACATCCAACCACAATTTCAATCACAATACCAATACACCCGTATGTCCCACACACAATTTCAGTCTTCTACATATCCCAATATAGGCCCCTTAACATCTAACATTAGCCCTGATCTGGGATTTTCCAAAGATTATGACCCAACCGACCCAACTTACCATCAACCCCACATCACCAAAGCACCCAACATTCTCAATACCAAACACACCAGGATTCATTTCTTTTCTACCCCTTACTCAGACGATCAGTGCTATAGACCAACCATGGAACTCCACCCACCACCAACACGACGAAACTTTGAGGGTATGGGTAACCGACTATACCAAAGAGGATCTTCTAGATATGGAGATCTGACTGATTTCATGGATCCGGAACGCATTGACTTCGCTGGGCCATCGACCCTGCCACAACAGGAAACACGACGAAACCCATCACGGGAAAGGCGAGGACGCGGATTCAGAACCACGGGTCGTTACCGGGTTCCGGAGGACCACTGATTATTTTGTATTTTTTATGTAATCATTTTGTGTAATCGTATTGTGTAAATAAAAAGTCGATTTTTCGTGATCCTATATCGTTTACGTAAGTCCCACATTTAAAATAAAAAATGTAAAAAATCGTCTGCCAATTGCACTAAGGCGCCATCTCACTTGACTTAGGGCACATATTTAACACCTAGGCGCAAAGTGAGATGACGTCTCCCCTTTAGAATAAGGTGTAGGCGTCAATTGAGATGACTCCTCTTTTGTGAGATTTTCTAAAACAGAATTATTTGTGTAATTTTCTCTAAAACATGATTATTTGTGAATTTTTTTTTCAATACCTGATTATTGAAAAAAAAATTCCCATATCTACGTCTATCTCATTTAGCCGGTAAAAAACAGTAGCTAGAAGAAAAAAAACTACATTCAATATAAATCTTGTTCCCATGCAACCAAAGAAAGGCTTAAGATCCACCCAGATTTTAATATCTCTGCCACACACATCTCTGTCTATCTTTAATTATATATTTTTTAATAAAGAGAATTAGAAAATAAATAGAGAAACACGAATGGCATTATCCATAAAGGACCAAAATGTAATTTAATTTAATTTTAAAAAAGAAAAAAAAAAGCTTGAGAGTTGTGGGAGTGGGACAGATTCTTTTCCCTCATTAAGATAAAACAACCACCGCTTTCTATCATTCCCATTCAATGCCTTATTATCATCAACGTCTACTCAGCAACTAGCTAGCTACAATCCCATAACCAAAGATGCATCTTCTCTCAACTCCTTCCACCACCACCACCATCACTTTTCTGTTCCTCCTCGCATTCCTCTTATACTCCTCTCCAACCTCCGCATCATACTCCGAAACATGCTCCGGCATAGTCCCATTCCGACAGCGCACCGACACGATTTCATTAACCGATTTTGGCGGTGTCGGCGACGGAAAAACACTCAACACCAAAGCTTTCAGGGAAGCTATTTACCGGATCCAGCACATAAAGAAACGCGGCGGCACGATGCTTTATGTGCCGCCGGGAGTGTACTTGACGGAAAGCTTCAATCTCACTAGTCATATGACTCTTTATCTTGCTGCTGGGGCTGTTATTAAAGCTACACAGGTTTATATTTTCGTTCACATTGCTATTTTTCTTTCTTTTTCTCTAATTTAGGCTAATTTAGTAATGTTTTTTCTTTGTAATAAAACAGGGGTTTTCATGTTATAATAACGATCTTAATTAGCTAGCCTTACGAATGTAAACAAAAAAATTAAGTTAAAAAAATTAATATGTTAAATATATTTTAAAGAATGTACAATTATTTTTCTTAGTTTTGGCTTGGTCAATAGAATTTCTTTTTTAACCTTAGAGCATTGGTGGACCAGTTATATATTTTATATTATTTCATACACTTTCGGTTAGATTTGGATTTTGAAATATTTGTCACCGAAGAAATTACCAAGTTGAGTCGTGTACTAGGTCGCTCTCTTTAAGACGTTTCGCGACACTGCTCAAAATTATGCAAAATAATTTCTTAAACAAAAAGAAACTCAAATAATACGTCATTTGACCACTAATAATGGTCATTTGACCACTCATAATAATTTCTCCAACAAAGAGAAATTCAAATAATTCTCCAAAGAGAAATTAATAATGGTCATTTGACCACTCATAATAATTTCTCCAACAAAGATAAATTCAAATAATTCTCCAAAGAGAATTTAAAAGATTAAACTTGAAAATTTCTCAACTCAAATGAGGAGAAATTAACATAATTCTCTAAAGAGAATTCAAGAAAATACTCGGAAAATTCAACGAGTAGGAAGAAAGGGGAAGAAGATGACGCTTCGACAATTCGAGAGACGCAGAGTTATGAGAGTGAGGAAGGAAAAACTAATATAATAGTTTTTGATGTGTTTTCGGAATGAAACATATGCACTCCTTATATAGTGAAGTAGGATAGTTAATATTTCTCACATGAGCAATGTGGGACTAAATGGTTTTTTCAACCAAAAAAAAAAATTCTAACAATGTGGGACTTGAGAAATTTTTAAATTCAACATATTGAAACATGGACATGTTCCAACAATCCCCCACTTGAATTTAAAAAATTGATTTTAGAAGTAACGTCAAACGTTTCTAAGATTGTGCATAAACAAAGGTGTCTACGACTTGAACCTTTGCATAACAAGTAGGATTCCAATTCAACAAGAGTGACACAAATGTCTTGAACTCTATCTCAGACATCAAACCCGCACACAACCTTTTCTTAAGGTGTATTCTAATAGCCCGTGCTTTAATGGTCGTGCACGTGTATCCCAGTTTAATGAAGGCTCTAGGAATTCTGCCTCGAAATTCCATAGGAACCGACCTAAGTTCCACAATCACATAGGTGAGTCTATCAAGAGTACTCCTGTAGCCTAGGTACTCCCTTATACAGGGTATATATCTCATTAAGAGTTTCTATTATCTCATCCTCTTATTACTTCAGGATTCATGCTTTACTTGCATGATCATCTCATATTACTCATAACTTGTTATTACCCATTGAACCTATTTCTTGGGATCTCCAGTCATTTAGGTCGGGTTACCATCATGAGCAACTCATTTTCCTATAGGCATTAGTCTTATCTTATATGATGTATTATAGACTTTCTCTCTAGCTAATCCTTTCGTCAAAGGATCTGCTAAATTTTCATCAGTGCGTACATGATCCACTCTTACAGCTCCTTTAGAGATATAATCTCTAACAGTGCTGTGCTTTCTTCTTATTTGACGTCTTTTACCATTATAATAACGGTTCTCAATTTTTACAATAGCCGCGATACTATCGCAGTGGATCAACATAACTGACATATGTTTTTCCCATAAGGGAATCTCAGTTAGCAAGCATCTTAACCAACTTGCTTCTTCACTAGCAGTCGCTAATGCTATATTCTCAGGATAGTATGTTTCTTTGATTTCCAAGATACAACTCCTCTAGCTATGTTGAATACATAGCCACTAGTTGCTTTGGAATCATTTGATAAGGTATTCCAATCTGCATCATTGTATCCTTCAGGTACAACAGGAAATCTCTGTTAATGTAAACCGAGATTCATGGTCCTTTTAAGGTACCGTATGACTCGCTCAATAGCTTGTCAATGTTCATTACTCGGTCTACTAGTAAACCCGCACAACAATCCCTACGACATATGCAATGTCAGGTTTAGTACAATCAATGGAATACCTAAGACTTCCAATGATGCTCGTATGCTCTGTTTGTCTAACACTTTCACCAGTGTTCTTAAACAGCTTCACGCTTGGATCATTTGGTGCGCTCACAGGTTTACTGTCAAAGTAATTATATTTCTTTAAGATCTTTTTCACATATTGTGATTGATCCAAAGAAACTCCTTGCTCGGATTTTGTGATCTTTATACCAAGACTCACACTCACTTCTCCGAGGTCTTTCATATCAAAGTTGTTGCACAACAATGATTTCATATCATTAATGGCCTGAATGTTTGATCCAAATATGAGTAGATCGTCTACATATAGACATATGATAGTGCAAATACAATTCTCAAATTTGTAATAAACGTATTTGTCACTTTCATTCACTTTGTACACATTCGATATCATTAAGTTATCAAACTTTACATGTCATTGCTTTGGAGCTTGTTTTAGCCCACACAAAGACTTATCTAACTTACAAACCTTGTTTTCTTATCCATAGATCACAAACCCTTCCGGTTGTTTCATATAAATTTCTTCTTCTACGTCATCGTTTAAAAAAGTTGTTTTAACATCCATTTGGTGTACTATTAAGTTATAAATAGCAGCTATTGAAATAAGTACCCTAATGGATGTAATTCTAGTGACAGGAGAAAAGGTGTCGAAGAAATCTATATTTTCTCTTTGTCTAAAACCCTTGGCAACAAGGCGAACCTTGTATTTATCAATAGTTCCATCAGGTTTTAGTTTCTTTTTCAAAACCCATTTACAACTGATTGGTTTGCAACCAAGAGGTAAGTCTACTAAGTGCCAGATCTTGTTAGATTCTAGAGATTCTATCTCATCATTGATAGCTTCTTGCCATAACTAAACATCCAGAGATGACAAGGCTTCTTGAAGATTCATTGGATCTTCTTCTACATTATAAGCCACATAATCATGCCTATAGTCCTTAGCAACTCTTACTCGTTTACTTCGTTGAAGTTCTGTTTCTACATTGTCGTTGCTTTCTGTGCTTCTTATCACATGAATGTGACTCGATTGTGTGCCCCTACTATTTCTCAATTTGAAAGGAAAATTGTCTTCATAGAATTCAACATCAGTTGATTCTATGATCACTTTTGCCTTTAGGTCATAAAACCTATATGCTTTACTGTTTGCTGCATACCGAATGAAAACACATTCATATGCTCTACTAGCGAGTTTAACTCGTTTCGGATCCGGAATTCTGACATAAGTCAGACAACCCCAAGTTCTCAAATAAGACAAGTTTGATTGTCTTTTCTTTAATATCTCATAAGGAGATCTTACATTTTGACTTGGGGACTCTATTCAGGACATAGCAAATAGTCAATAAAATTTCCCCCACCAGTGAGGTGCAGCATCAGAATTTATCATAATTGCAACAACATGTTCAGTAAAAGTTCTATTCTTTCTGTTTTACCATTCATTGCAAGATAGTATGGTGCAGTCGTTTCATATACAATTCCATGTATAAAATTCATTAATAAACTAGAATCATACAGTTTATCTATCACTACAAATTCTTATTATATCATTTTCAAATTCTTTACAAAAATTTTAAACATATAAACTTCATTCTTCGTAATGGCGTATAAATCTACCCCAATAGACTGACTAAACCCTATCTTATTTAAAAGAAAACCAGAAACAATATTCTTTCTAATCTTAGGAACATGCATAACGTTCCTTAAGATTAAATTCTTTTTGAAGGTGAAATTTAGCTTCATGTCTACAATTCCAGCAACATTCATGGTCTGGCCATCTCCCAACAACACTTTCTTATCTTTAGTATTCGTGTATGTTTAAACATAACACGATTATAACAGACACAACGAGAGACGCATGTGTCTATCCACCAACCAACATATCCATCAACCATGTTGATTTCAATGACCATAGCAATAAATTGCCTATTAGTCAGGTTGACCCATGCATTAGGGACAACACCAAGAAGTTCAAGCTTACTTCTACATTTCTTAGTCATATGACTTGATTTTCCATAGTTAAAACAAAGGGAAACCAACGTCATTTCTTTTAGGTGGTGGTTGTTGCCTAGTTGGAGCTATTGGGATCATAGAAGGATTCCCATTCTTAATTCGGTTCGCAATATTGTGGTTCTGATTCTTTAATCATTTGCCAAATGGCTTCAGAACTACACTGAATTTCTTTTTGTTGTTTGAAACAACCAAGACTTTTTCTTTTTGATATTGTCTCTAAGATTCCCTTTTTGTTTTTAAACATTCAAACTATGGGGTAGTTTGTCAATAATAAAACCAATTTGAAATTGTTCATTTAAACACATACCTTTTGTGATGATCTTTTAAGCCGTCTTTTGAAGTTCGTAACATTGAGCCTCCATCGACCTTACATCTTTGCATTTGATACTTGAAGTAACTGCTAACAACATACTTTTTAAATGATTTTGTAGAGATTTTCATTCTCTTTCTATAAGGTGATTTCTTTACTATGCTGTAAATCATCCGCTTTAATCTGTGCAGCAGATTCACCTTCAACATTATTAAGTGTTTCTTCTAAATCTTCAGATTTACTACCGTTAGTTTGTTCGATTGTTCCAGAAGGAGCAACAGAATGTCATCGATCAGAACGTTAGCAACTTTTTTTCAATGTTAAAAACTTCATCTTTTGTTGCCAACGTTTGAAGTGACTTCTCTCAAACATGAACGATTTCTCAAAGACAATATCCGCAAAAGAACCAATAATTTATTCGGTAGCCATGGCAGTTTGAAACGTCTTAAAATTGTTGGATTCAAATTTTGAAATATTTGCCACCGAAGAAATTACCAGGTTGAGTCGCGGACTAGGTCGCTCTCTTTAAGACGTTTCGCGGCGCTGCTCAAAATTATGCAAAGCAGTCAAACTACCGCGCTGCCTCCAGGATAAAACAGCCCAGTTCTATACTGTACGATTACTACTTGCATGATAGATAACCGGTCTAGAAATACACTCTCTGATGGTACAAGACCATTCAAATATGGTATCAACACCACTCGTAGTCTCCAAAGAGAATCCAAAAGATTAAACTTGAAAAGAAAGGGGAAGAAAATGGCGCTTCGACAATTCGAGAGACGCAGAGTTATGAGAGTGAGGAAGGAAAAACTAATAGAATAGTTTTTGGTGTGTTTTTGGAATGAAACATATGCACTCCTTATATAGTGAAGTAGGATAGTTAATATTTCTCACATGAGCAATGTGGGACTAAATGATTTTTTCAACCAAAAAAAAAATTCTAACAATATCAACATATTGAAATATGGACATGTTCGAACACTTTCCAATTATTTAAAAAACTATTAAATATTCTTAAAGCTCATGAAAATATTTAAAGTGAATCTTATTGGACAAAAAAAAATTGCCTTGCATCCAAATTTTAATTGGCATTTTTAACAAGAACAAAAAATTCAAAAATAAAAGAAGCAAAAAGAGAGAGGAGCGTGGTTTTTGACATCATGTCTTAATTAGAGGACAGTGTTAACATGGATCATGTATTAATTAGAGGACAGTGTTGGTGTCTTTGGAAAAAGTGGTAGACAAGGCCAAAGAGATTGATGGGGCTTACCCCATTTTAATACATAAATATTGTATAGGTAATGGGTTGTCGGAAACAGCTCATAAACTGAAAGCATTGGTAATGGTGGGTCTATGCTCTGCATGTGCATCATTTTCACACCATAAACAATGTGTTACACAATTGGTTTTGTTGTCTGTCACTGTCACTCATAAATAAAGGTTTCAAATCTTAAAGTTTCTGCTTGTAATGTTAATATTCTTATTAATGTTCTTCATTCTTTAGAGGTTGTGGAATTGGCCTTTAATTGCACCTTTACCATCTTATGGAAGAGGAAGGGAGCTCCCTGGAGGAAGGTACATAAGTTTTATCCACGGCGATGGAGTTCGCGATGTAATAATCACAGGTAAGTAAAAGTAAATTACTCACACGATTTCCTAATTCGTATCATACCATTGAGCACTGTTCTAAATTGTGAGTGTGGTCGCGGTTGCAGTGATTATTTTAATAATCTCATGCTTTTTCATAGGTGAAAATGGGACAATTGATGGGCAAGGAGATGTGTGGTGGAACATGTGGAGGCAGAGAACTCTTCAATTTACAAGACCAAACCTTGTTGAATTTTTGAATTCAAGAAATATTATTATTTCAAATGTGATTTTCAAGAATTCCGCCTTCTGGAATATTCATCCTGTTTACTGCAGGTATAAAACTGGTACTAATTTTGGTTGCAGGATTTTTATTTTCTTGATAACAACTTCATTTAAACGAAACTAGAATGTCATCAAAGCTACTAAGTCTAAAACCTTATTATCACCATTGAACAAAAATGCAGCATAGGGATAGAGCTTTCTTTCAACAATCTAATTTCCAAATTTTCTTCCTTCTTTGCAGCAACGTTGTTGTTCGATATGTCACAATTTTGGCTCCTCGTGACTCTCCTAATACTGATGGAGTTGATCCAGGTAAGAAATTGCAAATAATGTTAAGTGTCATGTCGTTTTATCGACATCTCATGGAATCGCCATGCGCAGTTCTGTGGGTTTTTTAATAAAATAAACATTTATTCAATCATGTAAAATAAAATTCATTTATGCAGATTCAAGTTCAAATGTCTGCATAGAGGACTCATACATATCAACAGGAGATGATCTTGTGGCTGTGAAGAGTGGATGGGACGAATACGGTATTTCATATGGACGTCCTAGCTCTGCTATCACGATTCGGCGTCTAACCGGATCATCTCCGTTTGCCGGCATTGCAGTAGGCAGTGAAACATCAGGCGGAGTACGGAATGTACTCGCCGAACACATCAACCTCTTCAACATGGGAGTTGGTATCCACATTAAGACAAACATTGGAAGAGGAGGGATTATCAAGAATATAACAGTGTCTAGTGTGTATATCGAAAACGCAAGGACAGGAATAAAAATTTCTGGTGATGTAGGTGATCATCCAGATGAAAACTTTAACTCTAATGCTTTACCAGTTGTGAAGGGTATCACAATTAAGAGTGTTTGGGGTGTGCATGTTTTGCAAGCTGGTTTGATACATGGATTGAGTAATTCACCTTTTACTGATATTTGTTTCTATGATATTAACCTTCATGGTGAGACAGGATCATCAGCTAGATCTTCTCCGCCTTGGAAGTGTTCTGATGTTTCTGGATTTGCTCATCAGGTTAGTCCTTGGCCATGTTCTCAGCTAAGCAGCCAAGAGCCTGGATCATGTACCAATTACTAGAGTCTTGAAATCAGAGATTGTTCCTCTAATCAAGTACTGTGGTAATATATGAACTATTGACACGGAGAACTAACACGACAATGACACATATGAATATATTGAATGTCATCATATGTGTCACTGTCGCGTGTCGGGTTAGTGCTACATAGATAGTAATTAAGTGTGTATTTGATTGATTTATTATAATCCAAGTCAACGAATCACCTCCTTTGGAATTATATGATTTGATATGCAAGTAAACTTGTTTATTTTATTATGCATGTTGAGGATGATGTGATGAATTAATACATGCATTAGTTGAAGAAACATGATGAAAGGTTGTTAAGGTCTAGACTATTACACTTCACCACCTCCACATGCATTCTTCTTATCATTTACCATAATTCCTCTGTCAGTGCAGTTGTTAGCACTTCAATCTTCAGCTAAGATAACATCAAGTGACTTGTTCAAGCTTAAAACACTTCTCTGCAATATAGTTGAGGTTCATAATTCTGTCCATGCATGAAAAGCCTCTCAAGTAGCACAACTTCTGAAGGACTTGTGCTAGCCCACCACATATACATGCCAAGCTTCTTTGATTTATATGTCTTTGAGGAGTTCTTTCGATATTCCAACAGTATTTTATGTTATTTTCACCCATATGGCTCATTAGACGCTCATCTTTTACATTTGCTATGAGGTAAATCATCCAGATCTTGGATCATGAGTGAACTAGCCAAGAGATCACTCACTCGCATAAATCTTCCTAACACTTGCTAAAAGAAATAAATCAAAATATGGTAACTTTCATCCATACATGTGTTTCATCTAAAGTAATAGAAACCCTATGAGATGTGTCTTTTACAATGATTTTAGGATGTCAAGTTTTTGTAAAATAGTTGATTTTGGATCAACATAGGTCCAAATTTTATAGATGTTTCAAAATGTTAATGTTATAGATGTTTTGTGGTGGAATTAGAAATAATAGATGTAAAGGGAATGAGGCCTGCAAGGGTGACGATGAATGCTTCTGGTATGACGACATAGTGAAGTGATTATATAAGATTAACGCTTTAATGTTCAAGTTAGTGATAAGTGAAGGAGAAGTGATAATGTGAGTAAGGGTGAGATTATATATGAAATAGTGTGTTGTTGGACTTATATATGGTAGATGGTTAAAGTTGCTTCTGTTTAATTAGTGTGAGATGTGGGAATTCGTCTGATTAAATCTAATGAAAGACAATGACTAGCAGCTAAGGTCAAGTGTCTGCTTTTGACGAGGTCTACATGCTCTTTTATCTGTTGAATGAATACTGTAAATTGAGTCTTAAAATTGGGATTCCTTTTTGGGCTTGTAAAAGTTCGTTGGAGCATGTTTGATTAGGCTCTCTGTTTGATATTTGTAACGAGAAATTTTGTACTTGCTTTGGCTCTTTTGAATTAACACATATATCTCTATGATTGACATTTGAATTCGAAAAATTAAACAGCTAAATCGAGGCTACAAAAGTGTCTCTGGTTTAACTGAGAAAAAACCTTTTCAAAAATAGTCGTTCTTAAAAGATTTTAAACGAGTGAAACGCGTTACGAAAATAGGTAATTCATTAGTTTAAGATAGGATTACTCTATTGAAAGGGGGTAAGGTCATTTTCATCTATTTGCTTTGTAAAGCACTATTTTTTATATCAGATAGAAAAACGAGAACGTACGTGAGCGAGTCTATGATAGAAATCATAGTCCTAAATTTTCCTTTAGAAATAATTGTCTTAGATAATTAACAAATTTAGCAATTTTGATACTCAGAAGCAATCCTCGGCAGAATGATACTATTTTATACTATTTTGATAGAGTTGTGCGCTTGCAACCTATCAATATCCTCCGGTAATATTAGGTGTAAATTTTTTATTTTGTTTCCAATCAATTGTTAGTCCATAAATCAACGTCTTTCTCATTTTCAACTTGTCATTTAACTATGTTCCTCCATAAACGAAAAATAATGCTTAATGTTCATCCATATTGAAGAAGAAATAATATTGAAGAAGAAATATGATGCATGATCAATTTTTGTATCTGAATTATCTACTAATAAGTATAAAAGATAATTGATTATTGATAGTCAACAACTTCTAACAAAGATAAATAAGCAGTTTTGTTTATTGTTTTAATATCTCTCAAATCAAAATCTTCTTCGGACAAAGGTGAGAAAATAATCTTTTAAGATGTAGTAATTAGTTTTCTAGTGTCTATGCTATCTTTTCCCACAAAATTTCTCTTGCAAAAATCCAACTTGTTAAGAAAATTGATTGGACATTTATAAATGCTAAGACGGTGCAAAAGCATGTCTTTTATGTCTGGCTAGATCAATTGAATTATATCACTCATAAAAAGAATATGGTCCTTCTAAGTAGCTAGTTTGACCAACATTGTTTTTATATTGAAATAAAGATGATGAATTATATATTTGTCTTTGAATATAAGAAGTCTAATATAGTTAATTTTTCTTAAACTTTTTATTATTACACTAATTTATATTGTGCATAAATGTAGATTAACTGTGTAACAAAGAAAATACTATATGAGATTAGTTTTGTCTTTGAATATAAGAAGTCTAATATAGTTAAATTTTCTTAAACTTTTTACTATTACACTAATTTATATTGTGCATAAATGTAGATTAACTGTGTAACAAAGAAAATACTATATGAGATTAGTTTTGCAAAACTAGCTTGGTTGAAAGTTGTATAGAAATATTAAATTGCAAGGACACGAGTTTAAACTGTTGAAAGTTGTATAGAAATATTAAATTGCAAGGACACGAGTTTAAACTGTTGAAAGTTGTATAGAAATATTAAATTGTAAGGACACGAGTTTAAACTTGTGACATTTAAGATATTTATTTTTAAAAAGGAAAATTTCAATTATTAAACTACTTGATAAAAAAAATACTATATCAAAATGAAATAAAAAAGAGTTACATTCAAGAAAGTTAAATAGTACGAGAGTAGGAGAGTTTACATCCAAATTCTTGAAATTAAAATGATAAATCAATTTAAGAAAATTAAACAATTAAAAATTGTTTAATGTGTTTTAAGAAACCAAATTGTATAGATAAATTTTAATTAAATTTTTTATAAGTATGTTATATTAATATAATACTTTTTGATTTTTTATAGTAAATGATTTTAAATTAAATTAAAAAAAAAATTGTTCTGCAAGGAAGTTGGAAAGGTGACATCGATTGGGGATTGGATTTCTGAGCAGTGCGATATAGAGATATAGGGTGTGTCTCTAAGATTAGCGCCATGTCTAAATCACTGGTAGAATGAGAGATAGTGAATTGTAGAGATGAATTTGAATTACCTGTAAAATGACGTCTTCTCTTTATATAACAAAGTTGATTATAAGCGCTTCAAGTGAAATATAATATATCGTATTCGAAATCGTCCGATTAATCTAGACATTGTGTGATGAGATAGGGGTTGGAATTGTCTATACTCTAAGATTACGAAGGTGCTCATTTCTATTGTGTAGTTCTCAATAGCTTTCAAAACTTGGGTCTCTTTTATTGGGCATTCTAGGCTATGCATGATAAATAAATTCAGACTCGGTCAAATCCGGCCACCCCGCCCTAAAGTTAACAAGGAAATTGATTTAATTAGGGACGGGAGCGAGTACAGAAATAACCTGACTCTACACCCACCCCCTGTCTATTAAATTTAATTTATTACTCTTATTTTTAATAATTTTATTACTAATTTATCCTTCTTAATCTTAAAATATCAGATTTATTAAAATTATTATTCATTTTAAAAAAAAATAAGATTAAGTAAAAAGTAATCAAATAGAATGATTATTCTTAAATGATCAAATATTTCATTTAATTATTAAATTTTGTTATTATGAAAAATATGCATTTAAAAAAATTACAATTCACGTGGATGGGGGCGGAGCGAAGAAACCTGTTACTCATAAGGGATAGGGATGGTGAATCAATTTTTATCCCCGACTAGGTTTGAAGGAGTGGCAAGGCTGGTTTTGGGAGGCGATGACGGGGACAATAATGCTTAAACTTATCCCTGCCCCGTTGCCATGCCTATTCTAGACTGCCCAAAATAATTATTCCCTAAGCCTTTTCCCTGCTGAGCAAGAGAAGGGTTTTGTCGTAGATGCCCCAAAATCAACTAGTGTTTTAGGTCAAAGGAAGGGTAGAGACGAATGATCACTAACATTAGGAACTCACACATTAAATACATTTCCCATGACATATGTTTTTCCGTTAAGGAACTCTTGACACATGTCCTCTCGCATGCCAACAATGATGGTTTTTTGATTTTGGGACAATTGAGTATCTAGGACGATTTTCAAGGAGATCTTGACCATTTTTAGTGATCGCTTCTCTCTTAGTTATATGAGATCGTGCTGCTCTCGTGTTGGAAATATCTATAAAAGCTTCTTTACTTGTTTTTTCTACTCTTTCGTCGTTTGAGATTCTGAAGATTTCTTATTTCTCTTTGCTTATTATCATCTAAGGGGAAGAATGTTGGATTAATTATTTAATTAATTAATTATGGATTAACAATAATCAATTATTAGAAATTATTATTAATATTAATAAAATATGCTCTGATACCAATTGATGAATTTAATTAAACTGGGTAAAACACAAATTATAGCATATTATTATATCAAAGAGTAATCAAGAGTAATAGGAACAATGTACCTTATATAATTGAAAAGACGATCGGTTGAGACGAGTGAGTATGAGAGGATGACTACCTTCATTCTTGTTTAAGATTTCAGAATATATTTAATCGTTTAATGAAACAATGCTTAAATAGTTAAACGGTTGAAGGCATCAACCTCTCATTGAACTTAATTAAATGATTTAATTCATCACAATTCATTCGGAGACAATAATCCAATTAAATAATTCATTAATAAATATACATAATTATACTAAATGATAATTAATATTAATAATAATTTTTAATAATTGATTATTGTTAATCTATAAATAATTA